AATTTTGAAATCTGTGCCTGCGCAACAAACGATTGACCCTGATAGCCATGTCCATCTGCCTACTTATCAACTGCAACAGGATGGATACGTCGTCCCCTCAGTTCTCTCTTCCGAAGTCCGACACGCCATCAAGTCGGTGAAGAATCGTACAGCACCCGGTCTCGACAGGGTTAAACCGGAACATCTGAAGAATGCACCGCCAGTTATCATCAAAACTCTGGCTCGACTCTTCACGCGCTACCTGTCGGAATGCAAGGTACCCACTCCGTGGAAAACCAGCAGGACCGTGTTGCTGTACAAGAAGGGAGACCTGGACGACATTGGCAACTATCGCCCAATCTGCCTGCTGTCTGTAATCTACAAGCTATTCACTCGAGTCATCCTTAACAGGATCGGCAGAATACTGGATGAAGGACAGCCATGCGAGCAAGCAGGGTTCCGAAGAGGGTTCAGCATATCCACACGGTTACAAGACTCATTGAAGTTTCACGAGAGTACAAGATGCCGCTTTGTCTCACGTTCATCGACTTGAAGAAGGCCTTCGACTCTGTGGAGACAGAAGCGGTCATCGAAGCCTTGGGCAACCAGGGCGTCCCTACTCAGTACATCAAGATTCTTCGTGAGCTCTACAGCAACTTTACGACCAGAATCTCACCATTCTACAAGGAGGTCATCATCGACGTCAAGAGAGGGGTTCGACAGGGCGACACCATCTCGCCCAAACTCTTCAGCGCCGCTCTCGAGAACGTCATGCGTCAACTGGAATGGGAAGACATGGGAGTGAAGGTCGACGGCCGGCAACTACACCACCTTCGTTTTGCTGACGACATCGTTCTTATAACGAACAACCTTGAGCAAGGAGTGATTCTTTTTTTTATTATCAGTCAATTCAGTATCCGAGACGGGCATGGCCAAGTAGTTAAGAGTGTAGAGGGTAGTCTCATAATGTCTGGCCGAATTTCTACACTTTGATTTCTTCAAGTTTTATCTTTCCTAAAAAACAATTGATCAAAAATATAACCACCATCATAATCACTGATATGCATCCATTTGCTAGGGAACGAATGAATGCAACTCCTCAAACAAGTGAGGCTGTGGGATTTCAATCGAGGCATGGAAGGCGCTTGGAGAATACGGAGATAGGATGGTTCACCCGCTTCCTGAACACCGTCATTGCGGAAAGAAAGATGCCAGGCAGGGTGAAAATCGTGTCGAGGACGTCGTTATACCACTACGACCATTCCCCCCCCCCCCTTTCCAATCGGGGTCTTGATACGACCCGATTCTCAGATATTGATGATGTAAGTAACGCAATTCCCTGATTAATTACAAAGCCTCCGTTGCAGCGGCGGGTTTATCCATGGGTCAGATTTGCCGAAGACCCACTCGAAACCGTCGAAATCTACATTTCCGATGGAAAGTTTCCATTCCCCATTTCCCAGCCTTTTGAACAGCACGCGGTAGGGTTAGAGAGAGCTGGATTTGCTGCTACCGCGCTGAAATATTGGGAGTGGACTAAAATTTTGCGGCTTCGGCCAGAACTTGAGATAGGGTATCTCAAGTTTTTGCCAGGTGAGAATGCTGGATTTTTCATGTGAATTTCTGTACCGCGCTTAAAAGGCAGCATCTCTCTAATATCGTAGCTTTTGAACAAAAAAACAGTGTTTTCAACTAGGAGAGGAAGTGTTGCGCTCTACCAGGTCTGTCTTACTTTCCTTCAAGAGGGAACCGCTTGTGCGACGCGAGTGCGCTGTGGACAGTATTCCTTGAGCATAAGGTGTATTTCTTCTTGTAGTATTCAACCAGTCCTTCTCGAAAGGTAAAAGAGACGGAGCGACCGAACTCGCACCACATTTCTTATTTTTGATGCTGGCATACACATATCCTCCTATCCGCACCACGATGCGAGTTACGTTGACTGACCTCCACTAGTACGATCCCCCATGACTCAACCTGACAAATACAACCCCCGTTCGAGGATTTCCTCCTATCGATATTCACCTTGATGCCAGGTGCCTGGAGAACAAGTATATCTTCCCCATCTTCAAGCAGAAGGGTGACGCGATGGACTGCTCCAACTACCGCGGATCAAGTTGACTGCGCATACCATTGTACGAGCGGCTGGTCGACTCGAAACTGCGGAGCTGGTCCCGATCTCCCAGGAACAGTTCGGGTTCATGTGGAAATTCACAACGGATGCCATCTTCATCGCAAGGCAAGTGATGGAGAAGTATCGAGAAAAGCGCCGACCCTGCTACCTAGCCTTCCTCGACCTGGAGAAGGCGTTCGACCGGCTACCGCGAGCAGTACTATGGAGAGCGCTCAGGGAACGGAACGTGCCAGAACACCTGATCTCGCTGGTGAAGGACATGTACGACGGGGCTAAGGCAGCTATACGCACCCCACACGGCCTAACGAAGGAGGTGGCACCAAGGGTCAGCTCTGAGCCCGTTCCTCTTCCTCCTAACACTAGATGTCCTGGTGAAGGGGCTCATGGAGGGACCACTGAAGACCATCCTCTACGCTGACGACATCGCCCTGATAGCGGATAGCAGAGAGGAACTTCAAGCCAAGGTGCAGAAATGGCAGAAAGTCCTGGCAGAAGGTGGGCTCCGGCTGAATGTCAAGAAGACCAAGTTCCTGAGCTCCGAAGAGGGTGCAGAGCCGATCGTGGACGGCCATGGTGAGACCATCGAAAGAGTGGAGGACTTCCGATACCTTGGGAGCGATCTGGCAGCCGACGGTAGTGTGGATCAGGCGGTGAAGGCTCGGGTCAACGCTGCATGGATGAAATGGAGGGAGTCCACTGGAATCCTCTGCGATCGAAGGTGCTCCAGAGCGCTCAAAGGGAAGGTGTACCGGACAGTGGTAAGGCCTGCGATGCTATACGGCAGCGAGTGCTGGGCCTGAACAAGAATCACGAAAGGCAGCTTCACTCCGCTGAGATGAGGATGCTGAGATGGGCCTGCGGCTGGACGCGGCTGGACAGGGTTAGAAACGAGGATGTCAGAGCGGTCATGCAGACTGCCCCTGTCCAGCTGAAGGTACGGGAACAGCGTCTGCGATGGTATGGGCACGTGCTAAGGAGGCCACAGGATCATCCGATAAAACAGCGGTGACTTGGAAGCAGGGTCAACCCTATCGTTGTTACTCTTTGGAAACTTTTTACGACCCCCCCCCCCCTTCATGGGTGATTTGATACGACCCCCCTTGTATGTGACACTTGTGTAGAGACAGTGTTTACCATCAATATTTATTTCTATGTAAGTCATCAAAGATGAAACTTTAGCAAAATCCACGACTTTTAGGGGAGCAAAATCACGGCAGGATATTCATCAGCTGGTTCCAAACACGAAAACAACATCGCGAGATGCATTCAAAGATATCCGTGTCCTCCATCGTGTACTCTCCAAAGGGTTACCAAACTAGGAGATGAAATAACTGAACCAGTGACCGGAATATTGACAATATTACCTGATAAAAACTTATGAGAAGTCAGAAAAAATTATCGCTCCAATTGAAATACTGAAATCCTTCACGTTCTTCAATTGCAACACAATTTTTACACCCCTCTTTCTAAGGCTATAACTTCCTTCATATTCGAGCTTCTGCGCCTGGTGATTTGATTTGGATGGATTTTGCGATTTGCGATGATTGATGAGCTTGCGCCGAAGTGATTTGATTTGGAAAATTCAAATTATTCTCTCTCCAACCATGGGTAAAAATTCTTCGAAAGTTAATTTAATAAAAATTTAGTACGTTGTTACTTTTTTCTGTGCAAAGCGACTTTTTGACCTTCAAACGATCATAACTTCCTTCAAAGTCATTCATTTGGGAAGCTGAACGGTATAACAAACTACAGGATTCAAGCTTTCTAACGAGCACCAAACGTTCCTGAAAAGTCAGCAGTTCAAAAATTAGTCCCGTTGTTACTTTTTTGAGGGGTATTCTTCAAGCCATTTTCCCGAAAACGCGGGTTTTCTTAGGTTTCACTGCCCGTAACTTCTTGGAAGACCAATGTCATGTTTAACTTAGGATGTGCTAGAAAGCTTCGAGCATGCGCTTGCACTACATCCCTTGCCTTGGTGCGCGCCACGCCTCGGGCGCCCTTCTAATTCGCTGATTCATTTGAAAGCTCATTTAGAGGGAAGCGTGGTTTATAGATACAAGTGAGTCACGGCCACAGCAGAAGATGCCCTGGACAGAGCAAAGTGGCGACGACTGACAAAGACAGCGGACCCTGCGACTGCGCGGGACTAACGCTAGGGAGAAGAAGAACAGCTTTTAACTGAACACTCCCATAAAACAAATTTATTTCGCAGTTACTTAGTAATTGCGGTAATAAGCTTCATAGAGCGATAAACCGAAAAATGACATCGATTTCTGAAACGTTAAACAAAATGGGTGAACAGCGAAGGAATTCCTGATTAAACAAACAATAACTTCCTATATATTGTGAGGTCTCTTTGAATGCTGCTGAACACGTTCCACTGTCAATAAGACTGAACTAATAAGGAAACAAGTAGATAAATAAGCAGAAAGAAAAGAGACCTACCCCACACCAATCTGCTATCTTCTCAAAAAAATCTGATTTTTGATGAATCTACATCTCAGTTAAAATCTAATGTAATACGCTAGTACATGCAAATATAAAAATGTTGTTTCAAATGGTGGTTTATCGAAGGAATCTGTTAACATTGATAAACTATGGAAGAATTCCGGATTGGAAAAGAAGCGAGTGGAAAAAAAACGAGCTAAACAAAGAATGCACATCACATTATGAAGGACTAACTAGGAAGGACTACCTGCAATTTCAGCAATGACATGAGAAATTTGAGAGGAAACTATGTTCACTCCGTATTTACAGCTATACATTGTATGTACAGATAGAGAAGCTTTTGAAAAATGAACCAGTGTGAGGATGAACCACGTTGTACGAAAAAACGAAAAGAACATGACAAACGTGTGGTGATACTCAAAACAGGGAAATGTGTGTGCTCTTACTCATTCCAAAAGCTAACTTTTCGAGCTCGACAACGAATGAGCCTTCTGAAATCGCTATGTTGACAGCAGTGGTAGACGAGAAACATTCTTGAACAAAGAAAACTTTTTGAAAATTGCCTTAACATAACGACAGATCACCTCCTTTCCAGAGCCCTAATTTTTTCGTAAATAAATTGCCAGTTTCCATACTGGCGCTACAGTGACGATAATGTTATAACAATACAGATCCGCAATAAAAATCTTTTCGGAAATTAGCCTCAAAAAATTAGATACAGAAACTTACCACCTATGACTGAGAAGCAGGTGGTTCGCTTCCTCTAACAGGCCAGGCGTCAATTGGGATGCCGCTCTCACATACGGCGAACTCGTCATCCGAAGAATCACTCGACTCTGGAGATTTTCGAATGTCCACAAGAACTCAATATTGAAGGGACAAACGATATATGGACCAAATTCTAACCTGCGTTCCTCTTCACACGCTTACGAGGTCCTTCGGTCTCCTCATCAGAAGAAGCTTCAACTTCTTCATGTTCGTTGAGAACCTCCCAAGAAGGAGAAGACCCAGACTCTGCAGGATTATTTTCAGATCCTCGCCTTTCGTGACTGTTCCTCCGCATCATCCTCCACCGACGCCTACGCTGTGCTGAAATACCACCGCATACACTGTGGGTTAGATTCATCGGCCTACAATGTATGGAAAGCTCTTTCTTTCCAGACACCAAATTTACATATCAAACTATAATATAGCGGGCAATACCCACTCGCGACTCGGACTGTAAGTTTGTCGGTGTGCTTGTGGGTGTATCCGTTCGCGAAGTGCTCCTTTCTTAAAAGTCGTTTTAGGGAGCTGGGATAAACCAAACGTTGACAAAATGGAATGCCCACTATTGATGTTTCGTGATCCCTTCAGCTGCAATGTAAATACTGTCTGAGTTCACGGCCGACCGTTTCACAAGGATACTGGTTATAAAAATTGTCACCCTAGGGGGTACTTGAACTCGCACGCACCATTTCGCCTTAACTCCGCTTTTCATGGCACATTTACCACAGATTATCAGCAAGTGTTAATGGCACGATTCGGGATAAAATAGGTGTGGAAAAGCGTTCAGTTATGAAGCTAGAGGTGGGAGGTGGTCTGGAAAGAGAAGGAAAGCAAACGAAACCACCGATTACGCCCCGCACAGAGACCTCCCCTATTTCAGCCACATTCCACCTTGGGATAGAGAAGGGCGCGTTGGACGAGTTTCACGAACCTAACTCTACTTGCTCCAGGTCAATGACATTGGATCGCAATGGGACCAGACTTTGTCGCGCACTTTCATGCGGCAAAAGGGGCGCGACATCAACGCTTGTCCGCCTGTCTACCAACCCCCTGGATGAAACAAGCGAGCGCGCCTAATACTGGAGCGTGCCTTCAAACTGTGACACATGGTAAATATACCATGAAAAGCTGAGTTGGGATGAAATGGTGCCCGGTAGCGTAACTGGTAGCGCACTTGCCCGGAAAGCGAGAGGTGCGGGTTCTAGTCCCGCCTGGGGCGAAAGTTTTGTTCACAACCCAGCATCCTTGTGAAACATTCGCAAGGCGAACTGTGGCCAAAGAAGCAGCTAAGTCAAAACATTGTCGACCATCCCCACGCTTTACTGGATCACATGTGGAGGATGAGGAAACCAACCGATAGCAAAACTAAACAGTAAAGCAGTGCTAAAAATCAGTCTCTCGTGATGTTTTGATTTGCAGTAACATCCTGCTCTACTGCGTAATATACCCATTCTACATCCGCACCTCATTCTACTAAGTGCTGACCTCACCAAAGAAAGTGAGTTCAGGCGGAAGGGGTGCTGCGTATTCAGAAATAGGTGACCGGCTTCCAGGGGACAACGCTGGCATACGCCCAGCCCCACCCCTGTTCAACACGTTAGACTGTGCCCAACGCGGCTCCAGTTTCGACAATACTACTCATCCACGATGATTGTTACACTGTTCGATACTCACGGGCGTAATAAATGACAATGAAGAAGTACCTCTTAATGAGCCTCTTGCGGAAGTCTCATCGTCTGCCGAACCTTCTTCACCAACGTCGTTTACATGCTCGAAATCGTAGTCATTTCCGTCGCTGGCACTGCCCTCATCGGAGGTTTCCAGCCCCATCAAATGCGCTCGCAGGCCTTCCAAATCGACATTCACGACAACGTTGTCTCCATCTACAGAATATTAAATGATGTATTTCACATTTCGAATTGAGCAAAGTATTCCTGTAGGCTCGACAGCTTTCGCGTGCACATTGAAAACAAATAATTCAACTGAATTTCGATCAGGGAGAAAAAATTCGAAATAAAGGAAATAGAGAGAAAAAAGGCTACGGAATACTGTTGAAGGTGCTACCATCATTGTGAAACTTCACTTATGATACCCTATTCAGGTTAACTGGACAGGCTTGATGAGCTTGCTCGTCTCGAAAAGCATCACTCACAGGCTGACAGGTCCAGACAATGCATGGGAAGGGTTTCAGAGCGGGGTATAAAGTGGACCAACTTTAAACGGACACGTGCAGGCCCTGCGCAGATTTTCTTCGAGTATGATCAACAGGGACATCTTACGATGACCAAATGCTCAAATCGCAAAACAGTGCGATTTCTAATCAATTCTCCACTTGTCCAAGGCGTAAATGTGGGACATGTACCGTTACACGAGGACCCAAAAGGGGTAAAAATAGGAGCTCGTGGCGAAAAAAAAATCATAAAGAGTTATAACTACTGAACCATCACCCGCTAATGGCAATAAGATTGAGGTATCCCTCTACCTATGTATAAGGCAGTAGTTCGGTGTGTTTTTCTGTTTGTCTCTTTGTAAGCGGCAGACTTATTTGCCCGCTTGCGTAAGAAATCGCTATAAGTGCAAGTACGACAGTATTCAGATTGCTAAGTAAGGGTATCTGTAGGCGGAATCTGAACCCATGGGCGGGGTCTCTGCCGAAGGGCCTATTATGTTTTGTGTCTGTTGAAGAGCCGAAAACCCAATTTTGTTTTGTTGTAGGAAAACACTGCGTATCACTGGTTGGCGGCATGCAAGCAGTAAGGCAGGGCAACGTAAATTTGATACAGGAGTAAAGGGCAGGGGCTGATGGCAGAATCGTTGTAAATGCCAGTATTCCATTTCTAAAGCTTCAGAGAAATAAGTGCGGTCAGGACAACAGTTATGCAGGTCTTTTATCATTACGTATCTGTAGCTATCGATTAGAAATGTTGAGCTTTGCGCAGAGGGCTCGAATGAAGTGGAGAATCAGTGTACCGATAGGGTACTGTGTATAAGTGAAAATTCTATGGAGCCAGATGCTGTCGATCGATATCGATTGAAAACTTTGATTTTTTAGTTGCAGATGCCTCGGTTATGGTTAGCAATTACGTTTTGACGTCGACGATTACGGGCTACGGCTCACGCCGGGCAATTACTCCCATCTGTATACTCTGTACAGCGTCCGTTAACTTATACCAACCCTCTCACTTCTATTTCATTTTCTTTATCGCGCACTCATTCACTGCATATATTTACCATGGGAAAACGTGGCTCATGAAGTGTTCCCTTTCTCACTAACGTTTTCCTGCCATTATTCGCCAGCCATTCAGTATAGAGCTATGGAATGGACATCGATGTCTGATGGATAATGATGGTAGGAAACGTAACGAAACGGGAGAACAGTAAAGTGAAACGCCTTGGAGACTACTACCGTACTCCTGGAAGTCATAGAGACTTCACCTCGAAAAGCTGATGGAGGAGGCACGGCATCAATATATGAACTGATGAATTTGCTGTAAAGAAAATGAATTCTAATTAAGGGATAACAGGCGCTGTACAAAGTGTACAGATGGGAAGAACGCTCGATTTCAGCAGGGCCAAAGGCCGATGTCAGACTTTGCGAATCGCGCGATTCGCTAGCGTCCGCGGTCGCGTTGCGGTACCAGCCAATTGAGTGATTCACTGGCCGCGACGCGACCGCAGACGCTAGCGAATCGCGCGATTCGCAAAGTCTGACATCGGCCAAAAGGAGAACGCGGCGTAGTCGTATAATCCGTCTGGTTTCATAATACACAGAGACTGCGCACGACTAGAGATGAAACTCTTCTGCCTTCGCTTGAGTTTTTTTTTTCAAACTTTATCCAAAGAGTAAACGCAATGCAAGTCAAAACACGCACCTGTCTCCTCATTGGGATCATACGCCTGCATTCGTGATAGCTGAAAAAAGAAAACTGAACTGCATGTGTAGGAATACTCTGTCTTCATCTCGAATTCATCAGCTTGGAGCTAATATATAATTTCTCCAACAAACTCATGTTAAAGGCAGCGATTGCGTTAGGTCCTGGAGGGCTTAAAGAGGGCGTAGGTGTTCAATGTTACGGGAATGGCGAGAGCAGAGAAATTCTTCAAGAATACGCAAAATATCACCCCTTAATTGTACGTTCATTGTCGACCATGGATGGGTGACGGCCAAGAAGATCCAGTCGCTGAAAGGAAAATGACCTCCCAAAGCGAAAATCCAACAGCAAACAGCTCGCCCAAATCACCAATTGAACTAGTGGCTAGATCGTTCTTGTTCCCTAGCGCTTTTCAAGTCCTACTCAGCGTCCCGTACCCTTCACCGGTTAAACCGTTACACCCGCTTCCTTGCAGCCAGACTTCCGTTTCTAGTGGCATATACCCTTCCCCGAAGTGCACAATCTTTTTTGTAACTCCTTTCTTTGGGAGCAAAACACCAGCACACTCTTTGTTTAGCGAACACTAAGGTCGGAAACAAAACTCGTTAGTTCCTTCTTTCCGTTTGTAGATGGCACTAACAATGCTTGAACGTTACGACGTACTTATATGGGTGAACTTTTAAAGCCAAATTCTGATTCTGTACCAGAACAGCACAGAGACCGGACCTCTCGGACGGCAATATCTTCTGGCTTGTGAGTGCAATGTGCTATCATAAAGGACGACGTTTGTTAATATGAAATTGGCCATCGAAACTGTACGTGCAAATGAGCTCGTCTTGGTCGCTGGCTCCAAAATGGAAATCAACATGCAAAAAGATCTCATTTTTCAAGCATCTGTCAGTTTTCTTTTCAATTTTTCTTAACCAGTCCACCCTCTCCCGCCTCTACAGCTTCAATGGTATGGGTTGATATTCTAGCGTAAGAGTTATTATGAAGACGATACAGTATGTTGGAAATTTGAAAACACTCACATTATCCAACTGATCGAAATAATTCAACATGTTGAGGTCCTCAGCGGTGTCGTCCACTGCCACTCCTTCATCAAAACTCAATTCAGAAAGCAGAGTTTTCTTTACTCGGATTCTCGGCTTGTCGTATGAAGCTGGTATGGGCAAAGAACTCCACACCTGTAAGTTGAACAAAATTAATGATTATAAATCGCAGATCTCTGCAACATCAGAATTAATCCACTCTAACAGGACCTTGATGATTTTCTCCACTCCACATGAAGAAATTATTCTGTTGCTCGGGCTGTATCTCACATGATTTACTATGGACCGATGACCTTTGAGCACAAACGTGGCTTCCGAGATGTTCTCATTCTCTGGAACGGTCTTTCATGTAGACAACAACCAAATAAAAACAAATTAACCAGTGATAGGATTGTAAATGCTGTATCATATTGGTTCACGAAGCGTCCGCAAGCATCTAAAGAGTAATATGAGGTTAGAAACAAACATCAAAAAGTCATATTAGGGGAAGGCTGCAAAAATAGACGCTGAAAGGAGAGAACAAGAACAGGAAGCCTTCGTGAAGCGACGTTGCAACTGCGCGCCCAATTTTACCGTATTTCCTTGTTGAGACTATCATGCAACCTAGGCTGTATATAAACATTGACGATGAAGTTAAGCTAGGCGGTATTCACGCATACATAAGTTGCTAGCCCCTTGCAATCCGGTTGCAGCTGAAAAAGAAGAGGAGGCCTACATATCGTGCATTTCTCAGATTCTGCTATCCCACGACCACGCACTCCTTCGGAAATTCTTTTCGTCACCACTTTTTCCTTTCGCTTCTTTACCACGATATTTGGAAGATATGATGCAATAGCGTCAAAGATTTGAAAACCATTTTTTTTTGAACGCGGCCAAATAAGGACGAAATATTGTAAGTTCCCGCAACTGAATACAATGTGCAGCGATATTTCTAACAATCGGAATTATGTGTTGGAAACATAATTAATTTTGGAAACGAAGAAGAACGAAAAAAACGACAGCGATCAACCTCGCATCGCCGCCAATTGCGTAGGCGCACGAAGACACTTCCCACCTTACGATCACTAACAAAAAAAACATGAGCCATCGCGAGCTATGCGAGACTAGTAACGTTGCTTCCAGAGCCTAAAAGCAAAAAAACTTCCCATACGGCGCAGTAATCCATACTATATAAAATCAAGCGCTGTGGTTTTACGAATTAACCTGAACCAACCTTGTGCTTGACTAGAAGCCGGTATTTGCCATGCATAAATATTGAAATCATCACTGCCTGTCATCACCATGCCATCATCCATGAACGTCACAGACTTGATTGTGTGAACGTTGCTGTATTCTGGATCTTTCAGTTCAACGCGGCGGTGATCAGTAAGCTAAACCACGTAGCAACATAATTCAGTGCACAAAAACCACGATGAAATCATATTCAACTATGAGTGTCGTACGAATCGTATGCTCATTTTAGTATGATAAACACTCGTGAGAATGAGGGGTGTGATAAATCGACTACATCAAGACCACTAGCACGAGTGCTCCACTACTCCGGATTCGGTTTCGTTCACAGAATGTATAAGAAGATATATAAAGATACGTCAATATAGATCGGATTGGAGTGTGACTGCAAGGCGGTGAGAGCAGTGCCCGTTGAATTCCACTCCACATAGATCGCTTCACTCACAAATGTTCTCAGGTCAAGCAGCGGCCTAAACATTCCAGAGGAAAAAGCATGCAAAATTAAATAACAAAATGCTAGTTCCAATCAGTCTTGAACCCGTGAAGAAGAGAACAAACCGCACTTTCTACGGTTCGAAGTTCATGAGACGCACACCCCGGTTTGAAGCTGTAGCGAAGAAAAGCGCATTGGCGGGATTGTACTGGCCACGAAAAAGTTGACCTGAACGTGTAGCGCATTTTACTTATGCAGCTAATCGTAAGATGGAACGGGAAAGAAGACATACCTTCATCTATAAGGCAGAAAGAACCTTCTTTAGTTTCTCTGCGATCATAAAAAGACACCACTCCACCTTCTCGGGATGCCGCCACGATGTTGATGTCGATAGGCTGAACAGGATCTTTGAGCGTGACATTTCTTCTTGGTCTATGGCGAAAGTGAGAAGAATTGCAGCTTAAGTGCTAAATACATGCATGATCCTAGGTCAAAATCACCAAATCGTTAGTACAATAGCAGCATCGGGGAGCGAAATCAGCACAAGTCGATCCAAGCTTTCCAATACTTTTTTTTTTTTTTTTTTTTGTTTTTTTTTTACTCCACGGTCGGCCATTAATACCATGTTTTTTTTTTGGAGAATATATGTTCTCAGAGGTGGAGTATGAATCCAAAAGCAGTTACTGCTGCGAATAAAATTCAAATGCGTGGCGCATCTCATGGGATAAATCCAATCGACGAGTTTCTTCATATAATACAATTGGGAGATTGATTCCAAACTTATCAGAAAGCAACCTACGGTGGAGCAGAAAATTGGAAAAAATCCAACGACCAAACAGCTCGCTAACGATAAACCTTGTGCGGACGATGGCCCACCAATCGGTGCGAGTACCAGATAGCTGCGCGGTGTATAATGACACCCAATGAGTGAGTGCCCACTTGAAATTCCCTTATTTGCGTGTTTGAAGCATTTTCAACATACCAGCTACTACCATAATATTCATAATATTTATGTTAGCATGCGTCGCAGAGATGCTCATTGTGAGTTATTTTATATGCAAAAGTCTTTAGACAGTAGCATGACTCGCCGGCCTAGCTACTGAATTTGCATGATTTGGCCGGAATCAAACCTATAGCAGCTTTCTCGTTTTTTATAGACCTTAGGCACAGGTGTATAAGGTCATATTAACACACTAGCTTAGAAGTTATTTCACCCTCGGCCCTCCCAAAACAGTAATTTCAATCTTCAACGCGAAGAGCGTTATCACGAGCCCGTTGCGTACAAATTCGACTGTCGCCAAAGGGTTGACAAATGAGCAGAAGGCGAAAGCAAATCCGAACTCCAGCGCCCAGCCTGCAAACCAGAAACTCTAATCACTGAGCCATCAGCACGCATCATTTCCTCACTGCCTCAAGTTCAGGACGATATTCGCGTTGAGGGTGTGGTTCACTAGACAGTAAATGCGACTTTTCGCTTTTCGCAACGCGTTCCACGCGGACCTTCAGTCCACGTGTATTAGGGACGAGGTTTCCGCAATTAACAAGTTTCGCCCGCTGCGAAATCGCCGAAAAAGTCGCTTTCTGTCCTAGTGAACTACACCCTCACTGTAGCCAATAACTTCGGTGCTGGAGCTTACCTAGTTGTATCGTGTAAAGAAAAACTGTCATAATTCTGTTCGGAGAATCGACTGGAGAGCAGATTCGGGGTCTGTGTTCGAAACCATAGGTTTACTGGATACCGCCCACTTCTACCCACATTCCTGCTTTGTCTTACCTTAACTAATCTATTGTGCATGCTCTGGCGCTTACCTCACCCAACCCAAAACTGGTTCAGCCTCCCTTCAAACTGCTTTTTTTCAGGTACAGGAGCACGTAAATGTATAGTGAAACACCAGATCCTGAATGAATCCTCCATTCCCCGTTCCTTCCATCCCATTTTATCCACCCCATCCCCCCACGAGTGCAGCAAGAATCAACTAAGACCCGCACAAGACGTGAACACATTTGAGAAACTTATCGAGGCGACTCATCATAGCTAGCAATGTTAAATGCGCGACGTTAATGCATGTCATCGACGAACAAATGATACAATTCACAAGCAGTTTAGCCTCAAGCACCCGTTGGAAATGTGTGGTTTGCTGAGCCTGAATATATATCCAAACACTCAAGGACTAGTCATCATCGGCTACTGAAATAATCTGAAATGCCGCCATATATTTTGATTCAAACTCGTATGCTCTGTACCGCGTGCCGCGCAATTCTGCTATCAGAATTGCTACAAGCTGTGCTGCTGCTGTGAAACTGGTGCCCTGAAGGCATCTCACCTAATGAGCGAAACGCACATGTCACAAAAAAAGAAAACTATGAATCGCATGAGCAACCACAACACAAAACATCGTTTGTATCACCTCTTGCTTTATAATGAAGAAAACTCTTCTGATATATTAACAGTCCTTAGATTTATTCACAATTTTCCCATTCTCGCAGTTCCAGTTCCGATCACCTAATAAAGTGTGGCGACGACTGCCGTGTGAAAGGACAAGTTCAAGAACGGAGTGGCAAGAACATATCTCCCTGGACCTCACCTCAGCGTGCTCTGTGAAAGCGCACCCCAACCGCCTATGAGGTGTATGCAGCCATATCAAATATCATATAGCTACTCCGCCGTTACAGTGCAGAATAAATATCTGTAGGGTTTCATCATATTACAGATTTAGTTTCATTTTCAATGTCTCAACTTCGTTCCATATTTATGCACCCTCTATAACCCCCTCTATGGGTGCGGGACTTTTGGCTCGTCCGGACTGGCACGCGGCGAGTTGCGCGGCGGCACGCGCGGCGATCTGGACGGAGACAAGGCTCCGCGGGTGCTTCGGGTAGAATTCAACACGTCAAACCGTGTGCAGATTGCGGATAAACTCCGCATGATTCTGCTGTTTGAAAATGTTTCCGCTCGCGGAGATTTGAAGCAGCAGTATCGGTGAGGAGATTTCAGCGCAAGATATGAGTGGGGACCTTCATGGAAATGCCACTACTACCATCAAAGCAAACAAGAGTCAATAAATTTGGGTGTTTTTGTTGAGGTATTCAATGTCAACTATATATGTTCTGCTGATCGAGGCGTTCATGTCCCAAGGAGAAACATTCGAAACGAACTCCCAGCAGAGGGGAGGAACGCCAGAGAGAACACAAATTACCCCAGAATCCCTTCTCCTCCCTAAGGCTCGGTTCCAAACACCAGTAATTGGCCCCCCCCCCAATGAAACATGCCCCCAACGACATGAGCGCTCTGATTGCCGAATAGCACTACGCTAGTTCCTTCTCATCTCTTCCTACTGTTACAACCACCACTGTCCTCAAAATTCCAGGCGTTTAGACGTATTTCGAACTGCAGAACCTTGCAGATTTTATCCGCAATCTTCACACGCTTTGACGTGTTGAGTTCCTGCGAAGCGTCCGGAGCGCCCGCGCGCGTGCGGCAACCGACGATGGCAAAAGTCGCGCGCCCCCTCTATAAGAGTTACTACCAAACGTCGTTTTTCCCATTAGGCATGCCCGCTATTCAGGAATTTGAAGACTTAGCAAACTTCTAAGCCTTATCTTTTAGTAACTTACATTAGCCGATATGCTGTACACGGGATGACGCTCTTCATAAAACACTCAAACGGCTGCGTGCGTGTTGTAACATCGTGACGTAGCACTACGCCATCATTGCCACCAGAAAACAGTTCACCACCACTTAATATTCAAACCAATTAGAAGTGTAAACCGGAGAGGAAGAAACCAGATGAAGAAAGATAATCGAAGCCAAACTCTAGCGAAAATTGGTAGCAGAAAATGTTTGAGTTATGGCCTCGCTCCATGACTACGGCAGGCTTTGGTGCTTCCTCCAACATGAGATCTGAGACGTGCCAGACGAAAACACGCATGTCGTCGCGCCTACAAAATTCGTTTACAATTTTGAAAACTAATCTTTAAGGCCGCGTTCATAGTTCGCGACTCGGGAGATTAGGATAGTAGGCGACAGGATATTAGGATAGTAGTAGAGTAGGAGATTGCGCTGACAAGATTGGATACGTATCGATTGAAATCGCTGGAGAGTAGTAGATTGGGCGACTTCAAGCGAATAGATCAATACATATCTAATCTTGTCAGCGCACTATCCTAATCTACTACTATCCTAATCTCCTACTCTACTACTATCCTACTATCGTAATATCGCAATCTACTACTCTCCAGCGATTTCAATCGATACGTATCTAATCTTGTCAGCGCAATCTCCTACTCTACTACTATCCTAATCTCCCCGTCAATACATATGTTTTTCATTGTCGCGTACTATCCTAATCTCCGGAGTCGCGAACTATGAACGCGGCCTAGAAGCAGTGTGAAAGTTGTTCACGTTATCGCTATAACCAACCACTTGCTAGCATATCCTCGGTTTTGTTGAATTCAACGGCATTCACACATCCAGTATGCCCGAGAACATCCTTCTGGTGCACTATGCCGGTCTTTCTTGCTCCAATACGAAAAACATCGTTCCTAAATTCTGCTTTTTTCTCAACCTGCTTACAACACAGGGAAACTTCCACATAACTACTACAATTACTAGCAAACTATAGAATCCAAGATATGATTGTTGCAGACATATGATTGTTTTCAAATGGACTGTTCGCAAATTCACAGAGGCGGTAAAAAAAAAGGTTGCAGGCTTTTTTCCGCTGATTCGTGGAGTGATACCTTGCTTCTTCAAAGCCACATTGAGTTATTGAATTAATATAGGTTACTACTGTGCTACTATGGTCCCAATATAGTTCTGGGATTGGATTAACCTAACAGTAATGCAAGGAAAGCAACAAAAAATGCAGAGAACCTATTGAAATAGCATTACTTACAACTAGGAGTAATCCCAGTACTCTATGCGTCAGAGGGGATCCCCAGATATGAAACCCATCTCGGCTGAGTCGCGAGAGCTGTTCAAGGCGCTCAGGAGGCGATGTCGCCAACTTTGTCACTTTAACTTGCAACTCTTAGTCAAACAGGCCAAACACAGACAGAGTTGCTTGAACCCGCCTTACGTTGAACTCCTACCGGTGACTTTACTGAATTCCTAATGGTGCCAAACAGGATGCGTGAGCTAGAAAAAATGAAGGCATTTGAAAGGGTGAGCGATGTGTGAGCCACACTTCGTTACAAAAGTTGGGGCATGCGGTCACCGTAGTCATGAGCCACTATCAACAGAGGAAGAACGCACGCAGACGAATGAAGTACATTGGCGCTTTCCGAAGGACAAGGTTCAAGTAGCTCGAAGACCTCTCCCAACTGCAACTACGTTAGAGCAGGATACTAGACCTCATCTTCACATACCCTACACTTTTAGTAAGAAGCCGATCACTTGCTACACCTATACCTATGGTGAGAATGTGACCTTAGTGAAGCTGTAGCTGTCTTCGTAGCTTGTAATAGACAGACTATGAATACTGTCGAGAAACCATCCGAGACACAGCTTACGCTGCTAAAGGTCAGTTCTCATAATCCTCTCCCTCATGGGCTTATGAGCGAATATGATGTTCGAGAGGACGTCTACAAATTCCTGGAGACCATTTTTTAACAGGATTCATATGTTTGACCGATTGACTTGGCCGGAGAGCAGTGGATTAGGCTGTGTTCATAGTTCGCGACTCCGGAGATCAGGATAGTACGCGACAATGAAAAAATATGTATTGACGGGAGATTAGGATAGTAGTAGAGTAGGATAGTGCGCTGACAAAATTAGATACAGTCGATATCCGAAAGTTGGGGTGGGTGTGTCACCGGAAGTGACGTGCACTTGATAGAAGTGCGTGGATAAGCTGTTGCCAGCATGCTTTGCTGATATCCAGCGATGTATGTTGGAAGCAGCTTATCCACATAGTTTCTATCAAGTGCACGTCACTTCCGGTGACACGCCCACCCCAACTCACGATATCGAGTATACGTATCGATTTGAATCGCTGGAGAGTAGTAGATTACGATATTACGATAGTAGGATAGTAGTAGAGTAGGAGATTAGGATAGTAGTAGATTAGGATAGTGCGCTGACAAGATTAGATATGTATTGATCTATTCGCTTGAAGTCGCCCAATCTACTACTCTCCAGCGATTTCAATCGATACGTATCCAATCTTGTCAGCGCAATCTCCTACTCTACTACTATCCTAATATCCTATCGCCTACTATCCCAATCTCCCTAGTCGCGAAATATTAACGCGGCTTTACGACATTACGATACAGGATAGCGGTAAAGTAGGAGATTACGCTAGTAGTAGAGTAGGTTAGCGCGGTGACAAATTGGATACCTATCGCTGTCCAACGATTCTAATCGATACGTATGTGATCTTGTCAGCGCATTATCCTTCTACTTGATATCTTATCGCTCCAGAGTCGGCTTATGAATACGGCTCAATATCCTACCGCCTACTTCCTGATCTCTCAAGTCGCGAACTAAGAACGCTGAACGCGGCCTTTCTGGATAATGAGCATATTTCGATGTTCAATGGAGGTGGGATTTGTTCTTAACGTGCCGTCACCTCTTTTCATAGCTCATGAGCAGATTAACTGAGAACATGTGATATATGCTGGCTTCAAGGAATCATGGAGTTAGAGCGATGGGGGGGGGGGGGTGAGGGCAGCACGCAGCCGCATTCCTGCCACGCTATCAGTAGCAATCTAATTCCTCACTCTTTACTGCAAGCTTGGTTTGAGTCCTTGTCAGTTGAAAACCCTCCAGCAAAACTTGCGAAGAAGGTGGCACCCAGTAAACCTTTCCGAGGATGTTAAGCACAGGCATCTCTGATGTGTGCGGATCCTAAGTTCCGGAAAACTATTTGCTCGAACTCACAGCCATGAAAACCTTCCTGGTGAGATAATGCAGGCGGAATAAAAAACATGACGTACATGTAAGTCGCCTATGTGGCCATTAATGGCTCCAAGTTGCATGTCTTCTACAAAGCTGCCAATGTTCCACCGTCCACGTTTAGATGGGAGTGCAGTTGGCTCGCCCTCATTAGGCCGTACTTGACCATCCAACTCCTCGGTAGAAGCCATGAATCGTCGACAGTTAAAAAAACAAATTAGNTTGGAAGGGTTTTGCACCCTAACTGGCATGGACGAGAGAGGCTGCAAGCATTACAATGCGATGGAGATGGAGAATGCCAACAACCGTTCAGTGAAGAAGACTCAGCCAAATGAAAACGTCTTCATTCCTAGAAACTTGTCCGGAACGGCATGGAAACGTCGATTGCACTTGGTGGAGATCTGTCGTACACTTTCCATGGCACGTGGTGTAGTCTCGGACAAGGACGAGTGCGCGGGCAAAAACGAATGCGGGATGAAGCCTTCACATTTTTTTGTTGCTTTAGTCAATTGTTAACGTCATGTTTCACTTCTTATGATATGCTTTGCTTACTTCCAGGTATACTTAGATATATCACCACTATGTGGTAGTTTCTGTTGCGTGGCTGACTTTATGGCACTTGAGAAAGATCCCACCAGAATGCCTGTGTTAACCGGCTTCGCCGGGGATAAGGTACATATTGTCACTGTTTTTGATGTATTCGGTTTCTTTGTGAAGTTTCTAAAGTTGCGTAAACCTCGACGACAGTGTAGCTGATGGCCATCCCCAAAAATCCTGCATCACATAAGCCATTAACTTCGTGTTTGGTTGTCTCTTGGCGCAGTCATAGTCGGTCGTCCGATCGTAACGATCGCACAGCGTTTAGGTGGGTATCGATTGCCACAGGTGTCCGAGAACTGGAATCGATAAGTATCTATGCTGCGTGATCGATGTTACGATCGGACGACCGGCCATGAATGCGCCCTATCGTCGGTATGCATGTTGGTTTGACTGTCTGCATGTTTTTTTTCCTGCAAATGGTGTGACAAGGGAGCTCATTGGATACTCCGACACGTTGGGGAAATAGGGAGCCTGTCGGCCTCACGCTAGCAATATTTTATGTTATGAATGCGGCAACAACCTCGTCTGTAGTACACCTTCTCAGGCCACTCTAGGCCAATTCACAAGGTGCGGAGGTTATGTTTGGAGTTGAGGGATGAGAGAGAAGTCAACCGCTAATCAAGCGAATAAAGTCATGTTTGTAGTGTTCATTTAATGAAGCGTGGGGAACTGCAAGAAGCCTGAGCTGTACTTACCTTAGGCCGCTTTAACAGCAGGGCTCCGTTAGCATGGAGCATGTTAGCACTTCCATTCACGTATTGAGTCCCTCTTTCCCCTTCGATGCTCCTCTTTCGCTTTCAGCCTCTTTTCAATTCCTTAAGCTTTCCCACTTCAAAAACTTTCCATATGTGCACTTGCTACGTTTCGGTTATTCGGAACAAGAAGAAGGACAGGGAATGGTTGTCAAATGTAAAGGACAAGTTTGAGAAAAGTTTAAAAAATCTATTTCAGTATCTCCCATCTGCTCCGTATAAGCATCTTCCAGTTCACCCGCTGGTCTCCCCTGCTGTGGACTTCTCGTTTCGTAATATCTGCAGAATTCGACCGTCGTGCACAAATTGCTTCCCACAAACGTCGCAGGATCTGTTTCACAACTATGTTGATCTATTTGACTTTTCCAAGGTCAGTCTCAGGTTATTTGCTCTTTTCCATTACTGTATCGCTTACTTACCACTTAGTTTCTTCTTACTATTAGATCTAATAATTTTATTTTTATTATTTTATTAATTTGATAACTAATACTTACCTACCTCTTACTTCGTAAATTCGTATTATCTCAGTAGTGAGTGCTAATTCTGATGAAATGGCAGACATTTTTCATTTCAAAATGTGGGGTTAAAAGCAGGTGGGAGGTGTTGCACAACTCTGATGACTACCCACTTGCTATTTGCACTAGGTGAAGAAAATAAACGGTAAACGCCACGATATATAGAGGTGTCTTAGACGTGTTCGGAAGTTTTTGAATTTTTTTAATATACACGCACCACCACAATCGCTTGCCAA